AGTGGTCCAGATAGACTGATGGCCCTGGGAGGCGGTCCAGTCAGGCTAATGACTAATTATGCATGATGTTTGTTTTGATATGGTTATATTTGTATGGCATTGGTATTTTGGGGAAACTCACTAAGCTTCAGGCTTACAGGTGTTGATTTTGTTTCAGATACTTCTGATGATCGCGGGAAGGCGAAGGCGTGATCGTGCACCTCATGTTTTTATGATTTGATTCTGGGATACTCTGACATGAAACCATTTTAAAAACAAATTTGTAATAATTATCGGTTTTTGAATGAGTTAAAAAGTTTTAAATTGGCATGAATTTCATGGGTGTTACAAGTTGGTATCAGAGCCTTGGTTTGTATGAATTGGTGGAAACACTCGTGTGTATCCAATCTCAAACTGAGGACAAGATTTTTAAAATGATTTTCAAATGGTTTCAAAATACTAAAGGAGGATGCAAGTGTACGATCAGTCGGAGCCAGTAAGTAGACCCCAAAATACCTTACAGATTATTTGATTTTATGATATGTTAGAATAGCATGCTAGTACTAGGCTAGGGATCTTCAGGAATTGCATGATAGAATTACCTGATTATATGATGCCTGATAGCCTAGGGTTTTTCCTTACATGAAATTGACATCATTATTGTAGTTGCTTAGTGTATGCATCACAATTGTACATAATTAAGATCTTAAAGCCTAAGAATGTTTGGTTTGGCCTTATTTCCTGTTCTTATTTGATGAAGGGCGTAGGGTAGGATCAGGTATTCGAAAGTCAATAGGGTCCAGCGTTATGTATGGCTAGCATACACGAGTGATGCAGGGTTGGTGGAAGTTTCATGGATAGGTTGTGTGGGATCATTCGGCCAGTTATGAGATATTTAGCCTTCCTCTAGGAGTGAGGATTGAGCGCATTCCATGCTTACGTATAGTGTTAGGGCGTTGTGATGATACTTGAGACAAATATGGGTAGGCGTGGAAGGTAGTATGGGCCCATACTACTGAAAGCATAGGACCCATACGTGTAGCAAGGAAGTCACAACCCCTAGGGTTTTGTTGGGAGTTGGTTCCCGGATTATTATATGGAATGACTGATATCTTTCTGGTATATTTTCAGCATGGTGGTTACTAGATGATTTGTAACTGGATCCGGATCAGGATCAGGAGATGGATGTCAGGAGGGACCAGCAGTGCCCGAGGTCATTGGTTATATGAGTTCGGATGAGTTGGACGCCAGGATTCGAGAGATCCTGCATGATGAGGTTGCTACTCTGTTTCGGGCATAGTTGTCGGAGATGTTTGGGTCTATCAAGACCACTATGATGGAGTACTTTGATGAGCGCTATACAGCTCTTGCTGAGACAGCTGCCGTTGCAGCCTCCACAGCAGTAGCCGCTGGTGGTGGGACCAGCCGGGCTTTCTAGTACCGGGAATTCGATAACCCGAATTTTGATGGGGTTCAGGACCCGATTGTAGACATGAGGTGGCTGTCAGATGTGGAGGGATGTTTCTTCACATGTTCATGTCCTACTGACCAGAAGGTCAGATGTGCCCTTAACCTGCTGAGGTTAGGGGTAAAGGACTGGTGGAGGTTGATGACGGGGTCGTATACAGATGATCAGAGAGTTGCGGTTACTTGGGAGCAGTTGAGGGATATGTTCCGCACTCGCTACATTATGTGGGTCGAGCGGGAGCGGTTAGCTCAGGAGTTCTTGGAGTTGAGACAGAATGCTGAGACGGTGATGGAGATCACCCATATCTTCACTGAGAGGGCGATGTTTTGCCCGTACGTTGCTTCCGAGCAGGCTCAGATGACACATTATCTGAGCATGCTCAAGACTGACATCCGTCAGTTTGTTGCCACCTAGCGTTGCGATACACTGCTGGAGTTACAGGAGGCCGCTAGGCGGCGTGAGCTTGAGATTGAGTTATAGTTACGGGAGCAGAGGCAGGCCCCGACGCAGTCACAGCCGGCACCAAAGCGGTCTAAGACCGCTGATTCTAGGTGTGGAGGTCATCATGGCCGCACTTGTGGCAAGTGCGGGAAGGGTCACTAAGGGGTTTGTAGATCTGGTAGTGTGTGCTGTAAATGCGGAAAGAGGGGCACTTTGCGAGGGATTTCCGTCAGCCAGCCCCGGTTTAGGATATGAGGATTTGCTACCACTGCCATCAGGTTGGTCACGTGAAGACCAACTGTCCACAGTTTGCTGCCAGGCCGGCATAGGCTCCAACGCCGGCTACACTGAGGATTACTGACAGGGGTCAGGGTAGAGCAGCGCCTTCGAAGGCTCGAGGATGCGCCTTCCAGCTTACAGCCGAGGAGGCCAGGACAGCACCGGATGTGGTTGTTGGTATGTTTCTACCCTTTATCGTATTGATTATATATGTTTTATGCTTATATGTTGTACCTATGATTAGGTACATTCTTAGTGAACTCCTTACATGCTTCGGTATTATTTGAATCAGGGGCGAGTCGGTCTTTTGTCTCTCAGTCATTTAGTAGGGAGTTCGGTTTGCCAGTAGGAGAGCTAGAGTGTCCGTTGCGAGTATCTATCGCCAACGAACACGGGATTTCCGCTTCTTCAGTCTATCGGGGTTGCGTGTTGGATATCTTCGAGGTATCTTTCCCAATAGACTTAATTCTGATTCCCATGGTGGAGGTATGTGTGATTGTGGGTATAGACTGGCTTAGTCACTTCGGTGCCATGATCGACTGCGAGGGTCAGCGGATGGTAGTTCGAACCCCAAGTGGGGGAGAACTAGTTATCTTCGGCGAGGGCAACAGATTGGGATCAGGGTTTTGCTCAACTGTCAGGGCTCGACAGTACATTCAGCATGGGTATGCGGGTAATTTAGCGTATATGGTGGATACGCGGGTCGGGGATCAGACCACGGTTTCAGAGGTTCCAGTAGTTAGAGAGTTCGCTGACGTGTTTCCTGAGGAATTACACGGATTGCCTCCGGAGAGGCAGGTCGAGTTTAGGATCGACCTAGTGCCAGATGCGGCCCCTATCGCCAAGGCGTCGTACCGATTGGCACCACCAGAGATGCAGGAGCTTTCATCACAGCTGCAGGAGATGTTGGGCAAGCAGTTCATTCGTCCTAGCAATTCTCCGTGGGGAGCGTCGATCCTCTTCGTCGGGAAGAAGGATGGTTCACACCGGATGTGCATTGACTACCGGGAGTTGAACAAGTTGACGGTGAAGAACCGTTATCCACTCTCGAGGATAGATGATCTTTTTGATTAGTTGCAAGGAGCATCTTGGTTCTCCAAGATATACATGAGATCTGGGTACCATCAGGTCAGGGTTAGGGACGAGGACGTGAAGAAGACCGCATTCCGGACTCGTTATGGACATTACGAGTTTGCGGTGATGCCATTTGGTCTCACCAATGCGTCAGCAGTATTTATGGACCTTATGAATCGGGTCTGCAGACCGATGCTCGATCGCTCGTTCATCATGTTCATAGATGATATCTTGGTGTACTCCAAGACCAGAGAGCAGCACGAGGAGCATCTTCAGGAGTTATTGGGAGTCTTGAGGCGATAACGGCTTTATGCCAAGTTCTCAAAATGCGAGTTTTGGTTACGAGAGGTTCAGTTCCTTGGACATCTCGTTAACCAGGAGGGGATTTTGGTCGATCCGGCCAAGATCGAGGCGGTTATGCAGTGGAAGGTTCCGAAATCTCCCTCGGATATCAGGAGCTTCTTGGGATTGGCTGGGTACTACCGGAGATTCATACAGGATTTCTCCAAGATTGTAGTACCCCTCACCCATCTGACGAGGAAGGGGGTGGATTTCCGGTGGGGCCCTGAGCAGCAAAGGGCATTTGAGACCCTCAGACAGCAACTTTGAGAGGCTCCAGCCTTGACTCTCCCAGAGGGAGTTGAGGATTTTGTAGTGTTCTGTGATGCATCCATCACGGGACTGTGAGCGGTCCTCATGTAGAGAGGACGGGTGATAGCCTATGCATTGCAACAGTTGAAGCCGTATGAGACGAGATACCCCACACACGATTTGGAGTTGGGAGCGGTGGTATTCGCTCTCAAGATTTAGAGACATTATCTCTATGGGGTCCGTTGTACAATTGACACGGACCACAAGAGTCTGAGACACATCATGGATCAGCCGAACCTGAACATGAGGCAGCGCAGGTGGCTGGACGTAGTCAAGGATTATGACTGCGAGACCCTTTACCATCCAGGTAAAGCGAACATGGTTGCAGATACTCTGAGCCGCAAGTCAGTTGGGCCTTCTACTCCAGTGACATGTATGAGGATATCAGCGGATTCTCCACTTGTGAGCTTGATCAGGGAAGCTTAGGCTAAGGGTGTACGGCAGGAGAACTGGAAGCTTGAGAGGATTAGAGGCGAGATCACCCGATTTGTGCAGGACAGTCGGGGGTTGTTGACCCATTATGGTCGGTTCTGGGTTCCAATGTCTGGTGGGGTCAAACAGCTTGTTCTGGAGGATTCTCACAAGTCTCACTTCTCTATTCACCCGGGGGCCACCAAGATGTACTGGGATCTGAGCTTGAGTTATTGGTGGCCGTGCATGAAGCGAGAGATCACTTGGTACGTGGAGAGGTGCTTGACCTGCATGATGGTCAAGGCCGAAGGCGTTGGTATTTTGGGGAAACTCACTAAGCTTCGGGCTTACAGTTGTTGATTTTGTTTCAGGTACTTCTGATGATCGCGGGAAGGCGAAGGCGTGATCGTGCACCTCCTTATGTTTTTTAAGATTTGATTCTGGAATACTCTGACATGAAACCATTTTGAAAACAAATTTGTAATAATTATTGGTTTTTAAATGATTTAAAAAGTTTTAAATTGGCATGATTTTTATGGGTGTTACATGAGGCCTCTCAACTCGTCGAGTAGGTTTCTTAACCCGCATCCCAAATCATCTCTACTCGACGAGTCTGGGGCTCCTAACTCGTCGAGTTTCTCTACAAAAGTGAATAAATTATGATTTTAAATGCATACCAGGAACCACGCATTACACAATGTCTACCACCAACAACCATCATTTGCAAGCCGAAACCCTATTCAACATATCCAAACAAATCAAGCTCATCCACTACACCATTAATGTCGGTGTTACCTTCCTCGAAACCTCCGACATCTACGACCCTAAAACCAACGAAACCCTTCTAGGCAAGGTAACATACTTCTACTAATTAGATCGATCTTTGATCAATTATCGATGCCAATTAGTCAGTAGAGCAGTGAGGGTCTTTACATTTTCGATCCAGTGAATTTAGGGTTCGATTACATTTTTTTGTAGTTGCAGGCTTTGAAAGGAGGAATTAGGGAGAAAATGGAGTTGGCTACCAAATTTGGTATCAGAGAAGTAAATGGAGCGAGGGAATACTGCGGAGATCCGGAGTATGTAAGAACGGCTTGTGAAGCTAGCTTGGAGAAACTTGGCGTTGATTGTATTGATCTGTATTATCAACACAGGATTGACACTTGTTTGCCAATCGAAATCATAGTTAATTTCTTCCTCCTTACTCGATCCTTTATTCAAACCTTTTGTTCATCACTCGAATTACAAGAATGAGTGATTTTCAACAAAAAATGATAAGAAAGTAATTATAAATGTCAGAAAGTCATTGTAGCAAGTAAGCAAGAGGTATGTGTTGAAGGTAAGACTTTTGAGATTGTTACTGATGCAGTTACAGATAAGACTTTTAGAGGTTGTTTCCATGGAGGCCATTGATTTTTGTGGGGTTTGTTCACTGGTATGCTTTCTAAATTGTTTTTTGGATTGTAACACTAATATCTTACTTAATATATTACCTTTGATCATTCCTCAATGATTCAGATTTAATTTTGCAATCGATTATTGATGGACTGGAATATACTTCTTGATGTGCTTACCTTGACAACATCAAATCTACGTAAATCCTAATCACCTGATGGAAGTGATGTAAATAGCAATCAGATTATTAACTTCTGGTTTCCTATATTATTGAACAATAATGCTTTCTTTTCCTTTGGGACTGAATGAAGTAATGAATAAATCATTTTTTGATTACCCCTTTTCCAGGTTCTTGTTGGGAAAATGGGACTTCCTTCTAGAATGAATTCTGGTTCATCAAAAGGTTATAATGACTTCTGGTCAAATAACCAATGTTTCCCTGTTTGTCCTTTTCCATTTGTTCTGTATATGTACTGCTAACATCATGTTTTTCTTTATTATAAAAATAAATTTCTAATCTTTCTGAAAAGGTAAAGGTGAAAGAAGAATTCCACAACGAGCTCTAACAAAAGGTTTTAATTTTGTCATTTTTGTTGTGGTGTTGTGGCTATCCCTCTTCTAGTATGTAAGTAATAATTCCTTTATAGGTTCACTACTTCAAACTTAATATGATTTGTTTTCAGTAAATGGAAAAAATAATAACCACATTCGACTTGATGCATAAAAAAATAACCACCATTTTTCCAAGTGTGTCGTCCTTTAACTCAAATATATTTTTAGACATTATTTATACAGAAAAGATTTGTATGAAAAAAAATCTATTTATTTTATGGCAAATTTTGTACACTTATACTTGATCGATGCAGCTAAAGCTTTGGAATTATTTCTACAAGATCTTTGTGACCGGGCATATGAAGTCACTCTTCAAAGGGGAGCAAAGACTTTGAATTTTATGCACTTGCAAGTAGACTATCACCAATCCATTATAGGAATCCAATCTACTAATCAAGTAGTCATACCATGAATTTTAGGGCAAACTGAAGGAATTAGCAATGTACTTTACTCTATTCATTAATGTAGGCAATGTACTTTATCTTTTACCCATAAAAACAATGTACTTACATCTTTATACCCATAATAGCCACACACTTATGTTTTTAATAACAATAGCAATATGTAACCTAAAACTTGTAATATGTACTTTTATTTAACACATAATAATAACATACTTACATTTCTTTAAATATGATAGCATTATACTTAGCAGTTCTTTACCTTATTCACAACATATATGAAGGATGTATTTTCTTACATGTAACATGAAAAGTTGTAAGAGTTTTACAAGTTTTTGGGTTTATATATATATATATATATATATATATATATATATATATATATATATATATATATATCGGATGAAGAAATGTAAGCACATTGCTATAATAGATAAAAATAATAATAATAAGTATATTGCTGTTATGGGTGAAAAATTAAGTACATTGTGAGAGTATAGTGGATTGCTATTTTATGTAATCACTTTAGTTTTTCTTCTGATTTATTTTTCATGTTTTTCTGATTTGCATAAAGTAATGTGTCCATAGGTTTAACATGTTTGGCTTCTTTGAGATATATTGTTGGTAAGGTTCATGATCTTGGTGGTTCAGATGTTGCAAGAGATGAAAGATCTACAACCAAACGAATGTTTTCTTTCTTTCTTTATTTTTATTTTTGAACTAATTAACACGTACACATAACATTCCTGCAGGCAGTAGGAAAACTCTAGGTTGGAGTTATAACGAGAGAAATGGCATTAGAAGAGTTATGCACTAGACAAAACACTAAAATTATGTAACTTAGTTGTATGACAATGTACTACCAGATTATATAGTTAGGGAAAACCGCTTAATATCAATGTATTACATTTATGTAGCATTAGAATGATTATTTATATATGACATTATATATTGTGAAATGGATTGTTTTTTTGTATGATATGTTATCTTATATTATGATATATTATTTGTTATTTAATTTGAAAATTAGTAAATCTATTAAAAAATATTTTTTTAAAACACTTAAAATTACGGCACACAAAAATGTGTGTCGTCTTCCTTTATGACAGGGGCTTCCTTGACATGCAATGCGTGTCGTGAATGTGTGTCATTAATGCACGTCATAAGGTTACGACACGCAAATACATGTCATCTTCCTTTATGGCAGGGGCTTCCTTGACACACATTTGCGTGTCATCTGTACCTTTTACGACATGCAATGTGTGTCATTAAAGGGTATTTTTTCTAGTAGTGATATATATATATATATATATATATATATATATATATATATATATATATATATATATATATATATATATACAAGCTACATATATCTTTTTCATTCTAGGGTATACACAACATTACCACATGTAATTAACTTATACAATATTACATTACTTCCTTTAACACTAACTTTTGGCATAACTAATAGATTTGATCATTTTACCCTTTACACACAAATCTTACTTTCATTACATTAAGCTGTCACAAAATTTCAGGTTGTTACAGTCGAGGCAGCCTAGGAGGGGGCGTAAGTCGACTGCTTTGGCAAACATGTTGATTGTCATGGCTGATGTAAAGCTCTCTAATGTTGTTGACTCGTGGAAATGGGCAGGTGATAGTTCAGACATCTTCTCGGTTCACTCTTTCAGGCAATTGCTTTCGGGCTTGAGGTTGAATGGTGAATGCTTTCTAATTTTCAAATGGTGCATTTGGATTCCCTTAAAATTAATTGCTTTTGTGGATGATGTTTTTAAATAGGCCTTTGTGGCTTGTAACTTATCTTCTACGGGCGTTGTTTTGTCTTCGTTGTTATGCCCCTTTTGTAATATTGAGGAAAAAATGGTGGATCATGTTTTTTTCAAATGCAATCTCTTCTCACATCTGGAAGTGGTTGGAGCCTGAAGCAATTTGTTCAAGACTATCCCTATTGATAGAGATGATTTCTTAAAGGAGTTGAAGGCTACCGGCTCAAATAAGTTGAAAAGTAAGCTTATTTTGGTCTTATCTTATTCGCTTATTTGGCTTATTTGGACGCCCATAACTCGTTGGTGGTCAACAATAAGATGTGCTCTCTTCTGAAGACGGCAGATGATCTCCAGCTTGCTACGTTTAATTGGATCAAGCATCGTTTTAAATTTTCTAATTTAAGTTGGTTTCAGTGGTATATTCTTCTTTTAATGCTTGTAATTTGTAACTTTTGTTAGTTTCTTTCTAGCCATTTTACTATTTTACTTTTAATACATTCGTCATTCAAAAAAAACTTGAAAAACTTTTTCTTCCGTATTTGAGATGCAGACATTATAGACAGACAGTACGTATTTGATGTGAAATAGCAGCTAGCGAGCTGAGGGGTCATATAATCCCTTAGAATACATACATAAAAATCATTTTTTTAGGAAACTATATTTTATTATTATTGTTATCTTATTTTTTATTAATAAAATAAAGGTGCATGAAAGCTCCTAGGATGATTTGTTTTGTGGGTAAAGATTGATCCCAAATCCCGCAAAATCTAGGCAGGAGCACGTGCGCGCGCGGATTTAACGCGCTTTTTCTTTTCTTAATTTACTGGATTCTATTTATACATATATATGATATGCTGTCGTCGGAACCTTCTCCTCTCACACGTCACAATATACTCAATTTCTAACTTTCTTCCTAATAGCCATTATTGTTGGAGATTTTTAACTTCTCTTTTCCAATATGTTTAATACCCGTCTTCTATTATCGTCATTATCATGATGATTGATTTTAGTAGATTTTGTATCCAATAATATTAGGCGATGAGGTTTGTGCTAGAAAATAGGATTTGAATATCAATATGTACTTATAATTTTATGAATCTTATTAAATACATTTTATGAAATCTGTAATTCAATTTTATGAATCTTATTAAATACATTTATGAAATCTGTAATTCAATTTGATGTCTGCTGTTACATGAATTTAGACGTGAGATAATCCATAAAAATCAATTCGGATTACAGGCTTAATCCAAATCACAAACACAAAATACCTTGTTGTTTGTATGCTTTTCGAGACAAAAATCTGACAGAATAACAATGCAATATTTTCGTGTATCCATTAAGCTAACACCATGTCTTCAAATTATGGGAAGAAGATGGTGTTTCGGTGGGAAATGTCATGTCCCTTGGAATAGGCGTGACCCTTTGATTTTTTGCGAGAAAATAATGGTCGAATCCATTTCCATTATATGGATTATGTTTCGAACTGGGGTGCAAAAGTTCAATCTCCAAGGGATCTGCCCCTTGCTAGGGGAACTGTCTCTAGACCCCGCCAGGGGAGATGCCCTTTGGAAGCCCACCCACACCAAGGGAGTTGTTTCGAACCCCCGTATTCTTGAGTTTATATTAGTTATCTGAGTAAGCACTCCGCATCTCCAATCTTGGAATGTAGCCAAATTAAACTCAACATGTAAATCCTAACTATACTAAATGTGTTGATAACACTAAAATCACCAACAGTTTGAAAGCAAATGATTCGAATATATAGAATGAAACAAACGACCACAACAAAAAGATTTGGGTGTTAGTACTTTCATATATTCGATATGATAAATTAGAATAAATAATGTTTTATTAATGGGTGGTCAATAATTGTTTGTTATCTACCGACTCCTTAAGTAATCATTAATCAAACATACGTGGTTAGTTTTGTAAAATGTAAATGAAATAAACGATAACGATTAGAGATGGCAACGGGGGCGGGTTTTACAGGGGACCCCAATCCCCATCCCCATCCCCGAATCCTCATTCCAATCCCCATCCTCATCCTCATCCCCACCGGGGAATATAGATAAACCCCCATCCCCACCCCCAACGGGGATTGGGGATCCCCAACGGGGAATAGGTGATTTCTTTTTCTCTTTTAATATGAAAAAATTTATGTAAAGAAAACATCTAAATTTCAATTTTACCAGCATAAGTTTAAAGATTTTACAAAATATAAAAAAATATATAGATTGCATAAAAAATATAAATAAATTTTCTACCATATTTAAATATATACATGAGAAATCAAGTAGAAAAAATTATCAGAGTGATATTTGAGGTAAAATAGATGAACAAAATACAAAAAAATTATACATGAGTTTACATAAGATAAAAAGAAAAAAAAAGTATAATTTCAACCAAGTAATTACTAATGAGTTAGGTTACTTGGATAAAATTCTGTGTATTGTAAATTGTACTATAAATATATGTTTTGTATTACTTTTATATATTAATATATACCAGGGGCGGGTCCAGGGGCGGGGATTAGGGGTATCCCCATCCCCATCCCCTTCCCCACTTTTTTATTCGGGGATTCCCCATCCCCGTCCCCATCCCCGGTCAACTTGGGGATTCCCCGGTCAAAACGGGTGCGGGTTTCGGGTTCCCCATCGGGTATGGGGCTTTTTGTCATCCCTAATAACGATGCCTAGCACGAGTCCTTAAAGGCTTAAACCGTAATTGTACATGCTTATAAAATCCCTACACATAAGGCAAGAACGTAGATGGCTTGTGAATCTTTAATATTGGAAGTTTAGCAACGTGTATAAAGACAAAAGTAATAGAAAATAATTTTGTTTAGATGATAATATATATATATATATATATATATATATATATATATATATATATATATAGAGAGAGAGAGAGAGAGAGAGGAATGATCGTTTGAGAACTCATAGTTTCCCGAGAACCCGAGAACTAAAAGTCATCCGTTAGATCAAAAAAAAAGGATGGTCAAGATACTTTGTGGCATTTTTGTAAATAAATGAGAAAGTAAATAAACGGGGGTACCGAAACAAAATGGAATTGGGGGTATTTTAGGGATATAGATATTGACCTAGAGAAGGTCAATCCAGACGCCTCGTTCCAAGTTTTGATGATGATACCTTCTGGTGGATGATTCCTCTGTAGACCCTTACATGATTGCCATGGAGTTCGTCAATCTCCCCTAGAAACCACATCACCGCCATTACCTCCTGTAAAACCTACACCATCACGATCGTCTCCTATAAATTGACGATCTCTTCTCGTTTCTCCCTACATCGGTCTACTACTCTTTCAGTCAAAGATCTTCCACATCAGCCTCCCTCCCTCTCCGTCGACCATCAACAATTCATCATTAATTACACGGTGAAGGTAATTTTCTTCTGATCATTGAATTTTCTAGTTTTTGTTCCTGAGATCCAAAAATGACAGCTAGGGCATATATCAGGTTTCAAAGTTTTGAATTCTCTACCTTTATTTCTGCATATATCACATTTCAATTGATCGATTTCCTTCAATGGATCAACTGATCTAATCCATGCCTGAGTCTCCTTCATCTCCTCGAATGGAAACATTCTCCACTGAACGTTCGGATATGGTTTCCATGTCACGTGCTTTGAGACTTGGTTCGGATCTCACTCCTCCTGTCCGTCTTGTTGCCATATCTTATTAGCATCGCCAAGATGTAACAATTGAGGTGAAGTTCCTGTGGATGAATCCACTACAACTCAAACAAATGCTTCAATTGACAGGTTTTTTCCCTAATTTGAAAAGTACCTATCACAACTGAACTGATTGAGATTATTTCTGGAGCGTCTGCGTTGACGGGTTAATTATTTCTTTTACTTTTTGTTGCAAAAGCCTGAAATAAGTTTGTTGGAAATTTGATAATAATTTGGGCTTGATTGACTGACTCTTTTCATCAGGGGCAGATCGGTCCCTTAGCAGTTGGGTTTGTTGAGGTTTTCTCATTGTTGTATTGAATGGCTTTTAGCCAATTTCGTTTACAATGTCAATGTATTTTGTTGGTTGATACGAGTGTGACGGTTATACCCTTTGCTAGTGGATAATGCTGAAAATGGGGACATGATCTAATCGGCTTGTTTTCTTTTTCCTTTATGGATATAGTGGCTGGACTGGTAATGATGTCTTATTCCTTTATGATTTCTACACAAATACTCTTTGAATTTTCAAATTAATGAGCCACTAAATTAATTGATTTATGGATTTGTTCAAGATATGCCTTATGCTTACATTCATGAATTCACAAGAACTTCAATGGCTGGTAAAATAAGACGGTTTAAAGGTGGCTACATGGGATTCTGGCAGAAATTAAGCAACTCTCTCCCCATAGAAGTTCAATGCAACACAGAAGTATTAGCCATCAGATGCACCTCCTCAAGTGTCTCTGTAGACACCATGAACAGTAATAGCAAAGAAGTCAAAACCATGGAATTCGATAAGATCATCATTTCTGGATCGTTTCCTTTTACAAATGGAAAAATATACAGATCACCAACCTATGTACCACAAGGTAGGTGCATTACAATATCTATATATTAAAATTTTATTTAATTCATATGTTGAAACGTGAAATGAATTTTTTTCTTTCACAGATACTGTCAATGGGTTGATGGATTTGAGTGATCTTGAGAAGGAGTTGCTTATGATTAATGATGTCTTAATAATTTGTTTAAAATTGAATTTCCTCGATCTAGTATTGTGAATAATTAGGTTGACTCGAAATTGAAAATTGTTATTCTATAATCCTAATTCTTCCTTATGAGGATATGATTAATGGCTCTTCTGGAGCATTTGATTTCATAAATTGGTAAAGTACGGAGTTGATCAGGTTTGATTTCATAAATCTACCTCTATGGTTCAGGTTTGTGGGGCACATGATGATCAACAGGAGCTTCCTCACAATTTCAAGAAGCTGGAAAAAGACGTGTATACCCCTGATGTCATGGCAACATCTGACTGCATTCTTGGTCTGTGATAAAAATATATAATTTTTTCTCTCCTTTTGCAATCCAAACTGATTTGACATAAATTGTTTCAGGAAAAATTGGATATGGAACTTGTAGTGAAGCTTTGGCATACAAATTACCTTCTGTGTTTGTACGTAGAGATTATTTTAATGAAGAACCATTTTTGAGAAATATGCTTGAGGTACCACAACTATCTTCCACTTCAACTTTTTAAAAGTTATTACAATAAATTTTAACATATATTGCTTTAAAATTCTGGAGTTAGTGGAGCAGGTTACTTATATAACTGTTTCTTTTTTGCTTAATGAGCTTTATGGATTAAGCATTTAATCTAGACAGCTATATATGCATGTTTCTTTTTTACGTAATTTAGACAGAACGACTTAATAGTTTAAGCCAAAAACTCGGATTAACTTATTGTGAAATCTTTTTGTTGGAAATCAAGAATAAAATGATTACTTACTCTCATTTAGACGGTTTATTTGTAAAATGACTGAAAATTTGTAGAAGGTTAAGACATAATAGGGAAAATCTTATTTTGCTGACTTACTTCATCTAATAATTCGTTCTTCACGTATCAAAAGAAAAAGAAACATCCATTATACTTAACATATCTAAAGGAATATTTATGTATTATGTAAATGTTTGGTGACCCTTGCAGGACGTAGTGCAAAAGAGGCAAATTTGTATTTGTTAACAGAGATCAGAGATCAGGACGCATTGATGAACAAATAGGATTGCTTCAAGCAAAACTTAAGCATATTGAAGAAGCTACTTGCATGAATGGGAATCGAACTAAGCTTGCTTGATCACAAGGGAAGAAGATTCAAATCACAATGGGACAAGAGTATTCAAGGTAGAAACCTAGAAATGTAGAATCATGAGTCATCTTCAAAATTTAGTTTTAATTTTTTGATGTTTTGGAATTGAATCAGGTTATTAAGGAACTTGACGTGGGCTCACTTGCAGCAAGACAAGTATAAATTAGCTGAAGAGATATATAGGTATGAAAGAAGTAAAAATTCATATGCAATTGTTCAAAAAACATCTAATTTTGTTGAAAACTTTAGATTTGGATTTGAATGTTGCAAAAAACAACCATCATATTGCAAAGGCTTATCTTTTTACATGAAGAAAAAAAAGACTATGTTACTACAACTTATGACATGTTTTCAAAATATTTGACAATAAAATTTGCCACAGTTACCTCTCATTATTATTGCAATACATGTAAATCATAAGTGAATTACATATGAATTACATGTGATTCACATGCGAATTACAAATAAATTACATGTAAATTACATGTGATTCACATGTAAATCACAAGTGAAACACATATGAATTACATGTGATGCACATGTAAATCACAAGTGAATTACATATGAATTACATGTAAATTACATATGAATTACATGTGATTCACATGTAAATCACATATGAAATACATGCGATTCACATGTAAATCACATATGAATTACATGTGATTCACATGTAAATCACAATGAATTACATGTAAATCACATATGAATTACATGTGATTCACATGTAAATCACATGTAATTCACATATGAATTACATGTAAATCACATGTAATTCACATATGAATTACATGTAATTCACATATGAATTACATGAGATTCACATGTAAATCACGTGTAATTCACATATACATCATATGTAATTCATACGCGAATCGTCTGTGATTCATATGTTAATCACATATGTATTTTTATGAGTGTTTTTGCATCAATCAATTTTTTTTTTTAATTTTCTTGTAGATTTTGAAGAAATTGTGGTGAATATTAAAGAGGTGAAGATGATAAATTGAAGAAAAATATGGAACTATTGACACGAAGACATAAAAACGCTTTGAAATTTTTTTCAGTTTTTTGTTTTTAATATTTTTTGTATCGAATAAAATACTTATTCTATTGTGTTTATAGATTGGTAAATAAAATGAGTTTTTTTATGATCCACGTACGAATATTATAGTATAAAAAATATGAATATATACATTTGAAAAAATATGCATATATGCACCTAAAATTTTATTTTATTTTTTAAAATGTAGTTTTTTTAATGCAGTTTTTTTTAAATGCTGTTTTTTTTTTTTGAAAAAAATGTAACATTCTTTAAAAAACTTACAGTTTTTTTATTAAAAAAATGCTGTTTTTTTTTTAATTGCAGTTTTTTTTGAAAAAAAATGCAGTTTTCATTAAAAAAAATTGCAGTTTTTTTGAAAAAAAAAATGCAGTTTTTTTTTAAAAAAAATGCAGTTTTTTTAAAAAAATATTTTTTTCAATTTTTTTCCAAAAATACATGTTTTCTATAAAAAATTAAAAAATCTGCATTTAAAAAAAACGAAAAATACTATTTTTTAAAAAATCTCAAAATTTGATATATGATGTAAATTTTTAGACATATATATTAATATATTAAATAACACAAAAAGAATTAAACATTAAATGAGATTGGTAAGATGACGATCATGTCCTTAACGAATTACTTTTGATCCAACGCTCCACTTTCAGTTCTCGGGTTCCAGGGAAACTTTGAATTCTCAACCGATCTCAACTATATATATATATATATATATATATATATATATATATATATATATATATATATATATTGAGGTTCAATAAATAAACATAATTAATAAGAAACCAAGAAACCAATTGTGAACGTTGGAAATCATAATGATCAACGGCTAAGGAAATAGATGTACAATTGTACATTAGACGCACAGACACCAGATTATACCAAAAAATTCACCTCCTTACAAAAAAACTCACCTTTTTTTTCGTGTATTTTTTTTAGGCCACATTTTTTATCGAAAAAAAAACCGAATATACCGTTGTTCACGATTTTTCGTTAGTTTCCATAGAGATCCATGTTGATATATAAAAAACGAACTTTTTTTGCGAAAAAAACTCACTTCATTTTGTTATTTTGTTCAATATTTAAGTTTATTTTTATCCAAAAAAAAACTAATTATACCAAAAATATTAATTTTTTGTACTCTATTAATAAACATCAACACCGATTTATAAAATTTAAAAAAAAAAAAAAAAAAAAACTCATCAATTCATATACACATTGTGAATCTAAACTGTAAATATTTCAATATGTAACATTCACAATGTGAATTTGACTTACTATTTCAACTCTTTGATCATTTGCACATTAACTTAGTGAAATTTGCATATGAAGCGAAATATATTTAATATAGTTTTATAATATTTTAACGTTTCATTACTCGTAAATTAGTTTTGTAAAATCAACAAATAGATTTATTCATATTATGAATCTGAATTACTATTATTCACACCGTGAATCTGAGCACGTTCACAATGTGAATTTGAACTGAAATTTCGATTTTTTTTTTAAACATCAATATAAATCTATGTTTAAAGAGTACCAAAAAATATGAATTTTGATATATTTATTAATTTTTTTCTACAAAAAAATATACCTTAACTTTTCAAGAAACAAAGAAAATGAAATGCGTTTTTTGAAAAAAAAAATTATTATTTTTTATATATCAATATAGATCTATATTGAAAGAGAACGAAAAATCACGAACAATGATACATTCGGTTTTTTTTTTTTTTTTTTTGATAAAAATCATGGCCTAAAAAAAATTAAACAAAAAAAAAAGAAGTGAGTTTTGTTATAATCCAGTGCATATGCGTCCATTATAAAAGTCTACAACCCTTCCTTTTGTTGTTGATCGCTTTAAATTTCGACACTTTGGTTGGTGCATGTGCAAGTGTGTGTGTATGTGTGTTGAGTGGAATCCCGTTGGTTGGTGCAGGTCGGGAGCAAGCAATAAGATTCCACAATTCAAGAGTTGTGTGGTTTAAACCCCAAGGAATAAAGTTTGTGGTATTATTATAGATAAAAGAAATAAAAAATGATTGCCAATAATGATGGTAGCCAAAGCAAAGCAAAGCAAAGCAGGTTGATATTACCAAATGTTTATTAAATTGCAAAACAAGTGTGGTAGATGTAGTAAGTAGATGTGAGGCTGAGGCATGAAAGAAAGAGAAGGTTGTGGTATGTAGAGTCATATCAAACAAAAATAACATATCTGTATATGTATGCATAGAATCCATTCTAGCAGAAAGCAAATTCAGGAATCCGATCCATAAGTCAACAAACCTGACCTAAAAGTAACAACTAACAACAACTCTATTTGATAAAACCAACCAACCAACTCTTGTAACTAACATACACAAACAATGATGATGAATTGATGATGATGATGATGCACCCACCCTCTCCAAAAAAAAAAAAAAATCAGCAAACAATTTTATGGGATCTGGGACCTTAAATCTTTTGTTTCAGTGTCACGTCAATGATCCCAATTCGAGATTTAGGTCTGTAATGTTCGTCTGTGTCCACTTCCTCGATTTCCTGGAACACAATTAAAATCTCTCAAATTTCCAGGATAATTTTGTACATACATACATACATACATATGTGTGTGTGTGTATTGATTATTATTTACCTGAACAATATCTTCTCCCTTGATGACGCGTCCAAACACGTTAAGCTTTGCATTCAGATCTGGAATCGGTGCGGTTGTAATGAAAATATCAAATCCTTCTTTCTCGTGTTTCATGTTGGACGTGCCAAGCATAAAGGCTTCATGCTTTAATCTGGATGGATGCATGGATTGTTAATTATTATTATTATTAAATGATGATGAAGATTGAAGAGTGAATGATATTACAAGTTACAAAATGGATTTAGAGAGCAACCTTTTCTCCAGCTGATTGTAGTGCTTCTCTCTGGAAGTCCAGTCCTCTATAACTGCATGATTCTCAGAGTCACCTCCTTGGATTACAAAATGTTTCACCACACGTTGAAACAGCATCCCTTTAAAATGTCCCTTCTGACTGCAACACACATTCCAATTTCCAAAAACATCAACCACCACCACAAAACAAAACAAGATGAGACTGGAGTGGATACTGACCAGGCATCGATAAATTCATCCACAACTTCAGGTGAACCTTCCTTGTAAAGTTCCACCGTAATCAAACCTTTAGAAGTGTTAAAAATCTGGACACACAAACAATAATGTATCAAACAAACCCCAAATGGATACTACAAGCAAGAATTATGGATCTTTTTTATGTAGCAACCAACAACCTACAATTTTGTCAAAAGAATTGTAACCAAGACAAGACAAAACAGGCTTTCATCTCATACGGCTCCCATGTGAAAAAAAAGAAAGATTTCTTCATCTGAGTTTTTGTAAAAAAATACCAATTCAAGTGGATGGCCCCAAGGACTCATCATCAAATTCAAATGGGTGTGGATAACAGGTAAAATGGTAACTTTTTGTACATTTTTTTTATTTTATATTAGTGTTAGTGTGTGTTAAATATGATTCAAGTCTTCAACAACAACAATACCCAAATCCCATATATAGGAATGGGGTAAGATGTAGACAATCGGACCTCCACCCCAAGGTACAGGATACAGAGACTGCTACCATATGATTATACAATAATAATCTATTTTTTAATAAAGCATTTAGGAGCTTGTATGCTTTAAAAATAACTCCATGGAACTTTCAACCTTTCGACGTGTTTCATTTCTGCTGATTTTACCAAATTTAACCCTATAAAGATAAAACTTGGCCCAAATCTGCTCATTTATAACTTATAAGTAAATGGGTCGAAACTGTCACCTCTAATCATACTTACTTGAGGATATAAACAAACTGTGCCTATAGTTTACAAGAAAAGCATATGACAAATGAAAGCAAACTTACAGCATATCTAGGTACATCTGATTTCTTTGAATCTGAAAAGTCATCTTCAACCTGTAGCAGATTAAAGAAACTAAATTGGACAATATAACTAGTAACAAGAAATCATCCGATTGCTTTGTGGAAAAAAAAAAAATTTAGGAAATGGTTTTCTGTAGCAATCAATCCCATAAGAAACGTGCAACCCTTTTCTCGTTCCATTCCATTCCATTGTTGGTTTGGTTCCATAATAAAGTTGTAGCTTTACTCCAGGATCTCTGCATTTGTCCTACCTTCTCTATATAATCACTTTCCCATATAAGGGCATTCAATAATCATACTACTCAACTACTACTGGAAATAAGCAAAGGTTTGGGGGAAGAAGAAAGAATAACAAAACTGTTGTACCTGAAAGTTTGATGTTCCTTCCTCTGCCTGCATTACTGACCTAAAAATAGCATGCACATCAATAGTTAGGTGTTTTTATATGCATGACCTAGACCTAGTTCTTGCTCTTGCAATGTCTGAATGCAAGCCATGATCGAATAAGGTAAGATGTTATACAAGTTCATGTTTCCTCATCATGATTGAGTGATGATGGTAATTTATAAAACAGAAGAGGAAAAATCCATGCTTTAGGACCAAAGAACACACACACACACATATATATATATATATATATATATATATATATATATCAGTTGGCCATACAACCATTTAAGGAAGTAACTAATTGTTTAGTGCTAGTGGAACTTGTATCCAATCCTCAGGTGATAGCCCTCTGGCTGTAATGTAAGGCATAATGGCCCTTATGGACCAAGCGTTTTACATGAGTTCATCGACTAACTGTGGCATAAATACATACAAGAAAAAGAAAGTTTTGGCTTCCTTCTTAAACATTCAAATGAAAAGAAAACATTTCTTGTCAACAAACCTTTGAGACCAGTGTCTGTAAGTAGCAAACAGGAAAAACACCATAACAACAGTAACTACGCTGTACAATGCAATTGTGGGGATACTGATACTTCTGGGTGCTTTCTTCTTCTTGCTTTGCTGTAACAGAGCTTGAGGTTTAATCCTCGCCATGAAGCCTATAAAGCTTTAAACCCGGGCAATATATATAATACAATATGGTAATGCTCGCTGCACAAAAAGAAAAAAGAAGCAACTATAAATTCCCATCGACTGCAAAAGTACAAGTTAACAAAGTCTCCATCACATATACGTGTGTGGACTATAACCACCACAAGAGATGACCCAACCCAATATTCTTAAAACTCAATGATTCATGAGACTAAATGATACGCGATCTCGAAAATTATCCCAGTCTGTCTGTAGCAGATCTTTAGCAATCAAAAGACTGGCTGCTTGCTTGCTTGCTTGGAATGCATCAACAAACAGAATTTTACAATTTACCAAATAAAGAAGACGATCTTGAAATTAGCAAGACATATTGCGAAATCCTCCTAAGAGAGAGAAACTATGGTTTTGAACAGTTGAAAGAGGTGCAGGCGATTGAAAAATCAAAGACATGTTTGTGAAGAGCATGAGCATCAAAACCCTAAAAGAACCAGAAAGGGTAGAACGAAAATCGAGCAAGAGCATAGGTGTACCTGAAGAGAAGAACGGAATCTTGTTCGAGCAAATGATGTTGGAGGGTTTCCGGATTGCGATTCCGATGTAGTTTCTAACAGAAAACAGTCATGCTTTCCAATTCCATATACGAGTGCAGTGCTTCGGCCTTTGAGCGTAACATTCGTGTTTGGGCCCATGTTTCTAGAAATTAAAGTATCCGCTTTTGGGCTCCTATAATCTATAGTTTTCTATTATGTTACAAACTAACACCGAAAGAATTAAAATACAAAATTTTCTTTGTTTATAAAGTATTCTTGCAACATCTTTACTTTTACTCAAAAAAATATAACACTTAAAATTCATAAGTTAAATTTGTGACACATTTTTTAGATTAACTTAATTTGTAACTTAAAATGCCTTCTTGGCTCTTGCAACAATCCACCTTTGACACATTATTATGATTAAGCTAAAGTTTGTTGATTGTTTAAACTTTTGAGGTTCGACAACTTTTCAATCATACTTCCCTTCCCTTGTTAATTAGACCAATATATATTATCACTTATGTGTCAAATATAAGGAACACAATTGTTAATACTTGACGTGAAATAAGATTGCATAAAATTTCAAATAAATACTTATATATCATGCCAAAAATGTTACAAGTTGATGTGTTTATTGCAATTCCTCTGGTAAAGTGTATCTACTTTAATGTATTATGTGTCATCCATACAAAATAGAGAAAAATTCAACTAGCAAGAAAATGTGTTAGAGTGATGGAATGAGCGAAAATATGTCAAAAGACCTGAACGTTATTTTTAGGTGTTGTTTGTTTTTTCTGAGGCAAAATGTCTGCAGTCTGCGGACCACATCTTTAGACCTCTGCAGTAGAAGAGGCGGACCAAACGTCTGCAGTCTGAAAAAAGAAGACTGTTTGTTTTTTAACATCTGTGGGCTACTAAAATAAACTGAAATCTAAATAAACTGATTTTTTTAAACTTCAAAGTGATTTTTTAATATTTTTATGACTTTGTTATAAATAATTAACGAATCTAGCTCAACTTTTATGTATTATTGTATAAAAAATAAAAATAAAAATGGTATGAATTAACGTATATATTTGATAAAACCAACAACTTTGGTTGCAAAGTTATAACTAAACATTACAATTAGTGATCGAAGAATTTGATACATAAATAGATGGAAATAAACTTCGATTTTTTCAATTATATCCATTAAAACGTACCATAAATATTTTCTCGAGAAATTGACGATACTGTATTAAATAATGTTTTACAAAATTTAGCAAAAAAATATAAGAATATATTATGATTTTTTTTCATATTTATATAAACAACTTCAACGACTATTATATTGTAATAAATCTTTATTTATAAATTTGTCAAAAATATCATGTTTGTATCGTCGAACGTTTTTTTTTTTTATGTTTTGTAATTTTTTTTTCAAATTGTTTATCATTAATAAAGTTGGAAAAAATATAAATTAAAAAAAAACTTAAAAAAAATAAAGATATATATGTTTTTTTAGGCTAGAAGATGTCTGAAAATGTTAGAAGACTCTGGTCCACATCTGCGCCAAGAAGAGGGCGCGCAAACATTTTTAGGTCTGCAGTCTTCAAAAAAACAAACAGTCTGCGAAGGCTAATGTCTGCGCGTGGTCTGCGCGGCGCAGACAAAAGAGGTCACGCAGATCTGCAGACAAAAAACAAACACTACCTTAGTATATACCACATAAATTGCTTTATTCAAAAATAATATTATTTATTATTTATGTTATAGTATAATTTTGTAAAATCGTAAAGGTAATATTCAAGTACGTGTTTTGAAAGTTTTTAAGAGCTTTTTGTTTTTAAATTTTATTTGAATTAAAGAAAAAAACTTCGTTAATTAAAACTTTTATTTAAAAAAAATAGTTGTAATCCAAAATCATTTCAAGTGGTTTTTTAAGTTTCCAGAAGTTTTTATGTTTTAATTTATTTCATATTTTTAAGACAAAACTGCACAAATGGTCCCTGTGGTATGTCGAAAATTGCTAGTTTGGTCCAAAAATGTTTCGACTAGCACCAGTAGTCCAAAAGTTTGATTTTGTTGCCACTTTGGTCCAACTTGCTTTGAACTTTTTTATAACGACCATTTTGCCCTTATTTTATTTTTTTCTGTTTATTTATTTATTTAAATATATTAAAATAAAAATGAAAAAGAAAATTTCAACCCATTTCCTCTTTCTCATCTCTCTCTTCTCTCTCTCTCTCTCTCTCTCTCTTTGATTTTTCATAAAAAGGAATATAACATAACCATCATCAGCTGGCGGAAAAATATGAACAACCACCACCACCTGTCGGAAACCACTGCCACCAGCCGAGCACCATCACCACCAGTTCAACACCACCGCTAACATCTTTTTTCCGGCAACGACCAGTTGGATCTGGAAAGACGAGGAAGAATGTAAACGAATCCATCATAGAGAGAGAGAGAGATGTGAAGAGATAGAGAGCGACGACTTGGGACGAAGATCTGTTCAACAAATATCGACGATTGCCAACTTCACCGCTGTCGTTGCATATAAGAAACCCTAGCTCAAGACTTTGCGTTTTCAGAAACCCTAGCTTCGCCTTCTTCTCTCTTCGTCTCTATCCTTCTTTGATGGCGACAACTATCTATGAGTTACAGAAACCCTAGATTCGCCACTCCAATCGGTCGTTTAGGGTTTGACGGTGCTAGGGTTAGGGTTTTCAAACGGTGGTCGAGGCGTTAAGGTTAGGGTTCGCTGGAGAAGTGGTGGTACAAAAGCTGCTCCATTCCCATTTCTTTCTACTCATCTCCATTCTCGGTGTCGACAATTTGCATATATGGTGCAGATCCAATGCCGACATTAGTTATCTCTGAGGAACTAAAGATCTGCAAATAGTTAACCGGAGTTAAGGTTCGCCTGATGAAAACTAAAGTGGAATTTGATTTTTCCAGCGAGAGGATAATAGCTCCAGCGAGATGATATTATCTGATTTGATTTTCCGGCAGCTATGTTGTTGTGAAAGGGAAATGTATTAAGAGAGAGAGAAGGGTATTTTCCTTTTTGCCTATTTTTATCTCTATAATAAAAAAATGAAAAAAGAATATACATTTTTTTTGCAAAGGGCAAAATGGTCATTATAAAAAAATTCAAAGCAAATTAGACCAAAGTGGCAACAAAATCAAACTTTTGGACCAGTGGTGCTAGTCCAAACCTTTTTGGACCAAAGTGGCAATTTTCGATATACCACAACGACCATTTATGCAGTTTAGTCTATTTTTAAAAGTTGATAACTATTTTTTACGAACATTTATACAAAAATAAAAACTACAACTTCAAGTTATAAGTGTTGTCAAACAAGCCATTTATTTATATTTATCAACTCCATTATATACAAAAATAAATAAATAAATAAATAAATACAACAATCAATTAAACTCACATGAGATAATGACAAGAAAGTTGTTAGGTCTCGTTTGGTTTGCAGATTGTTTTTGGAATAAATGAAATTTGTTAAAGGAATTGGACTTTAAATTAATTAGAAGTTGATATGTGTTTGGTTGATATGGAATGAAATCTATTTTCTTTTTGGTTTGTCGAATTGTTAAAGAAATTAGAATATGAATTATGTAATATGACCAAAATACCCTTTTAATGGTTTTTGTAACTTTTTTAAATAAATATCACAAATTTACATTTAATTACAAAGTTTATTCATTATACTCTTCTACGATATATAAATTAGATTAAAAAAACATGTAATTCGATGAAGACACAAATAAATAATAAATAAATAAATAAACTTTTTAAATCAAAATTAAAAAACAACAAATATTATTAATTATTCTTAATTGAAAATTAAAATACTTAACCACGCATGAATACGTAAATCAATGTCTAGGTACCTAGTTTATGTTCGTATCACTCTTCCAACATAAACTTCACAAAATCCTCCCGGTCTTATCCTTCCGAATTCCAAAAACTTAACATAGTTTCCGGACCACATATTATTTTTCAACTTGCTATGAACCTATCCAAAGCGCTTAATGACTGGATTTTTAAAATTTCAGAAATCACCATCAAAACTTTCTTTTGTACTTATGTTTCTCCTAGTATTGTTTGATTAATGTTATTCGTTGCTTTTTCAAGTTTTTATTCAAGCACATTAGTTGTAATAGTTATTTCCTAAAAACAATATGATAAGGTTTACTTTTTTTCTTCTTTGAACGTGCGCTTGCTAATTCTTCATTTTTTGTTGCTTGTTCTTCAAAATCATCTTCTATTTGTTTGGTTTGTTCTTCGGCGTTTGCATCTTCTTCCATTTGGGCGAAATTCATGGTTTTATTCCCTTGAGCTCTATACTTTCCAAAAATAATACACAAATCCTCGTAATGATGAATATCTTATTTCTCCTTTTGCCCGCCTCTTTATGAACCTATTATGTATCAAAAAATGTGGATCACGAAAATAAAATATAGATAGTTATTGAGTAATATAATAAAATAATAGTTTAGATTTTGAACTTGTATGTAAGTCTCCCAAGCTGATGCTTCAGCTGTTACAGAATGAGTGGAACTATCATAACCAAAACCACTTGTGTTCGTACCATTCACCATATCATAAATAACTTGTCAATCTTTTTTCATGATTTTGATCATTGACTTAATGTGGGGTTTACCCATTATACCAGAGTCAGTGATTTTTTTTTCTTTAATGCATTTTCTAGATGTTGTAAATATCTTGACTTAAAAACCATTATCTGCTTTAAATCCTACCATATTCACCATATTTACCGCTGCTTCCACGAGCTTGGCATCTTCGGTAATAGTCCTATTGCGATAGTTTATGGTTTTTTCCATCACACCTAATGTTTTAAACATAAACTTTAGATAAAACAATACATGAAATAAAAAAAATTTACACAACCATATATATAAAAAATGAAACTGATAAAAGTAAATCAAACTTAATTATTACAAATAATAAACGAAGCACAAGTTTATTTAGGGTTTATGACGAACATAACAAAAAAAGATCAATGTGTAGCATTCCAAGGATCAAACATAGTTTGTGTTAGATTGTTTCGAAATGTAGTCCACTCCATTGATACGCCAACATACGTGATATTATCATTTATCTTCGCCACCGACATCTCTGGTTCCCTCATATA